CTAGGTTTTGACCCAGGCCTGGTCCTGTCCTGAAATAGTTTCTCTTAACACACTCAGGCCTACAAAGGCTTCTACTTCACCCAAAGTCTCCACAAGCCCTAGGAAAGCCCTTCCCTAGAGGTGGAGGGAGAAACTTACCACCTACCCCTTCCTCAGCCTTTACTCCTCCCTCCAAACCAGCATCTGGGAATCCCACTGAATGGCCTGGGGTTCAAAGTAATTTGGAAGAAACACAGAGACAGGGAAAGAGAGAGATACAGCAGCAGAGACAGAGACAGAGAATATACATAGACCCTAAGCCCAAAACTGGGGAGAAGGAGAAACAGGGAACTCGGATTCTGCTAGTGATTCTGGTTCTTTGATCTTGGCCAGCTTTCACTCCCATTTTCTCAAAAGACCCGGAAATGCACCCACTCCCACAGCTCTCCTTCCAACAGTTTCACACCGGCTTGGGCTGCCTAGGTTTGGGGGTGCCTGTTTCTACAACCTCAGATTAACTCAAGCAACTTCAAAGACAGGAGCAAGAATCCCAACCTAAGCTTTTTTAATGGTGTAAGCTCCAAGAGGGAGGGCAGCTTCTGCTTTTTTCTGGTTCCCATACTTTGTAGACCTTTCCAAGGGCTCCCCAAATTGCTGCTTTAAAAGGCTATCACCCAGCTGGTTCTGGCTTGGAGAAGTTGGGGCCGGGGCAGTCCTGAGTAGTGAACCCTCTCCTGGGACTAAAGGGAAAGGAGAAGGCCAAACTGTAAGATTGTGCCTGAGAGTGGGGGGAGGGGTCCCCAGGGGCAGCTGGGTGGGGGCTACCTGTAGTAGTCTTCCTTGCAGTAGATGCTGCCGTCCTTGCTGAAACAGGTGAGTTCCGACTCCAGGTTGAGCTTGCACTCGCAACACTTGAGGCAGCGCATGTGCCACTGCTTGTCCACTGCCAGCAGGTAGTAGCGGTCCGAGATCTTGCCCCCGCAGCCAGCGCACAGCGCAGCACGGTCACTGCTGATGGACGGCATGGTCTGCGAAGGGAGAGAGGCGGAAGACGGCAGCGCCTGCGTCAGCCAGCGCCCCACTGCCGCCGGGAAACCGGCACCCACAGCTCCCTCTGTGGCCTTGGTTGCCCAGAACGGCGGAGGGGGCTGCCAGGGCCTGCAGTGCACTTCCCCCACCCCAAAAGGCCCATTTCCATTTCCTGGCAGCTCAGAACCCAGGTCCGCCTGCGCAGCGCTAACAGGCCACTGGCCCAGGCCGGGCTCCTGGCCTAAAAACTCTTCTGCTAACCTCTCTCCCTTCCAGTCCTCCCTGTCCTTTCCCCCAAAACGCTCGGACAGTGTTTAGGGACCGGGACAGCTACTCCAGTCAAGTCCTCCAAGAGCCTTCCCCAAACTGCTTCTTAAATGAGCCACCCGGGGATTAAGGTGACCATTAAATCACCCTCTACACAGAATCCTCTTCGGAGAGACAGGAGAGTTCCTGGGCCCCAGCTCCAGTAAGGCCAGGACAAGTCAGGCAACTTCTGGCTCCTCTGCCGCCCGGGCTGGGGCCCGCTTGGGTCCAGGAATTACGGTGAGTGGGGTGCAGAAACACCCTCAATGTCTCTGGGTGCAGGACAGTTTCGACCCAAATCCCCTCCCCTATCCAAAGTGACCAGCGAGGAAGATCTAACCCAGGAAGAAGGGCTCGGAGGCCCGGAGGCCACTGAGGCCGCTGCTCCTACTCCCGGAGCAAAGAAGCTTATCCCGTGCTCCCCACCTCCGCGGCCTCCTAAAGGTCACTTCTAGGCCTGCTGCTCGAGCAGTGTCTGCTCGTCTAGTCCCCAGGGAGGTCCGAGGCAAGGAACTGGCTATTTGGAGCTGGGCCCGCAGAGCCAGGTGTAGAGATCTGAACGGAGTCTCCTTCGGCGAGGGCCAGGCCGGAGCCTAAACTCTGAGCCCTGGCCTGGCTAAGTCTGACCAGTCAAGGGCTGTGGGAACGCGATCAACGACAAATGCTGGCCAGGCACTTAGGTCTCTGAAACTGCGCTGGGGGTCGCGGGGGATCCCCGATTGTCGGGAAGCTGGGAGCGGCCCAAGCTGGCTGGAGCCCCAATGCTCCCGGCTGGTTCGCCCTTCCCTGGCGCCGCCCGCGGCGCGGCCAGCAACCGGAGCCGAGAGGTGGAGGAGAGCGCAGGGTTGTCGACCCCGGCGCCGGGCAAGGTGAGAAGGGAGCCGCCGCCCCGGGCCGCGGATGGGACTTCGCTTCCACTTCGGAAGAACCGCTCTCCTCCACTCCCGGGGGCTGAGATTTCGGTTTCAACCTTGTTTCCCTTCTCGCCCCAGCAGCAGGGTTTCCCTGGAGCCGGGAGCCACCGGCCTTGCATTCAGACCGAAGATCCCCATAACCCAGTCCCGTGCGGCACGAAGGACGCTCCCCAAACTTCAGGGACAGAGGCGCTGACTGGCCCGGCCCCATCCCAGCTCTCAGCCCCGACCCCACAGCCGCGTGCCTACCGTCTCAGTGTCGCCGCGGTCGATGGCGGAGCTGATGGCGGGAGCCTCGCTCTTGGCCCTGCGGTCCATCTCGTCGATGACCCCGTGCACCTCGGGGCCCGACAGACTGTGGAACAGCATTGCGGCGGGACCGGCGGGGCCGGGGGCGCGGCTCCTCCGAGGGAGGGCTTGCCCCCCGCCTCAGCTGCCTGGCGCTCCTGGCGCTAACGGGCCCGGTGCATCGCCACCGCGGCCCCGGCCCCGCCCGAGCTCGGCTGCGCCCCCAGGCCGGGCTCCGGGCCCCGGGCGCCTGCGGGCCAGGACGCCTCCAGACGAGGCTCGGGGGCAGCTACATTGCGGGGCGCCTGGGCGACGGCGCCAACGCCAGGGTCACAAGGGCACGGGGCAAGAGGGGGGAGCAGGAGAAGAGGGCAGAGGTCGGCGCCCGCCGCGGGCGCTTTCACGCCGCGGGCATCGCCCGCCCGGCTTCGGCGCTCGGGGCGCAAAGCAGGGGCGCAAACTCTGCCCGAGGCGGCGACGGCTGCAGTCGGGGTTCACCCAGAAGACGCTAGGTGCCCGCGACAGCCCAGCTGCCTGGATCCCTCCCTGGGGTGCTCCCCCAGCCCAAGGCAACCCTCTTGGGCGCTGAGTCGCCGACTGGAGTAGGGGTTTCTCCGAAGCCAGCGAGCCGAGCCGAGCCACCGGGAGAATTGAAGAGGAGGAGGAAGAGGAGGAGGAGGAGGCGGAGGAGGAGGTGGAGGAGGAGAAAAAAGAGGAGGAGCAGAGTGGGAGGAGGAGCCGCCGGCCGCGGGCCCAGCCGCGCGCAATGCTCTCCAAGCGCGCGCCTAGCCCAGCCCCGGCTCTGCAGTCCGCGCCAGCGCAAGCCTCCGCGCCTTTTCTACAGCCGCGCCTGACATCACGTCCTGCCGCCGCGCCATTGGCCGCTCGGCGCCCCAGGCCCTGGCAGCGCGTGCTCCGGGAAGGCGGGAGACCCGAGAGGGAGGGGAGAGGCAAGAGGAGCAGAGTCGAGTTGAGATGGTGGGAGCTGGTGGGCGAGGCTGAAGGGCGGGGAAGGGGGGGAGGCAGGCAGGAGGGAGAGCGCGGGGTTTGGAGTTTTTAAGATACGAACAGCTTCCTGCGATATCTTCAGAAAGGAAAATTAAACCCTCTATCCTAAGAAGGCGCAGCCAGGGGATGCTCGAGGAGGTCTCACTGCGGTCTCCCCTCGGCCTGGAGCTGCGGCCTCAGGCACCCGCCTGGGAGGCCCGGGGAGACAGGCCTGGGGCAGAGTTGCAAAAGCCTTCAGCCGCTTCCCATCGAGCTCCGCCTTCGGCCCGGGCTCTGCACAGCGGGCTGCAGGCGGCCGTGCAGGCCTCCTGGGGACCCGGCTGAGCCTGAGAGGCGAGACCGGCGAGAGCTGTGACTCCCGGGGAGGGGGGCCAGCCAGTATATCCACGCTCCAAGCCCGCTAGGGCCCAATCTGCAGCCCAGCGTGTAGCTTCTTCTCGCTCTTCCCAGCCTGGAATAGTGGGGGCGAGAATGACTTTAGGAACCCAGAAAGGCCACGGTTCGAATCCTAGCTCTGCCATTTACATGCACTGTAACCTTAGACAGTGACTTATCCTCACTTAACTTGTTTCTGACCTTTATAGTGGGAGACGAGGTCTCCTCCACATGGTTGTGGTGAACGAAAGAGATTATGGATGTAAAATGCCTGGAACATAGTAGGCACTTAGCAAATTATTTCATCATTCCCTCTTTCTCCTCTTCCATTAAAAACTTTCTTACTCCGAGATACATTTGATAACAGTGAGGCTCTTAAAATCCACAGGCCCATTCCTGCCCACTGGGCACACCATGCCTCAGACCCGGCTGGCTGAAGGTGGAGTCCACCTTATCTGCCTGGCTGCACCACTTCGTCAGGGGCCAACAACCTAGTGTGCCGGGTAAATCCCCACTGCCACCCCAGCCTCCAGGTTTCAGGCTCACCCTAGAGTGTCCTGGGGACTGGAGGGAAATATCCAGGTGTCTGGTGGGGAGGGATTTAGGAAATAAAATGATCGTAGACAAAAACTGAATAAGCACGTCAGAGTTCCATATGGGTCTGCTTCGGAGGCAGGTTTGGCTCCGTCTAATGGGGACAAGGGGGGGTGTTAGTCTGAAATGACTTGTTTGCCAGGTCAGGTAAGGGGATAGCCAGGATCTGCGGTTTACCACACAGCACACAGAATTGAAGCACTAAATCATATTTTTCACATGTGCAGGTTACTTTCACACATAAATATGTGTGCACAAATATATGAACTTGGGTTCATGTGTGCAAATACACATGTTCATCTCTGTTGGTAAAAACACAGCCAGCAGGAATTTTGTCTCTGTTGGCAAAATCACAGCCAGCACCACTATAGACCTAGGGTCTACAAATTTGCGTCGCGTATAAGTGTCCAGAGAGGGGAAGGAGGATGCAATTGCAAAATGGTAAATCGCACGTTATACCTGCACTCGCGTGCTCAGGCCATTCTACTGAAATCACTGCGAGTGCTTCTACGAGGCCGTTTTGCATATTTGAAAAAACTTGAAGTTACAAGTATGCGTGTATATGCTGCATGTGCACAGATGCCCCAACGCGAGGGAAGGACCATTAAACCCAAAACGCGCGTGCCCGTGTGTTCGCACAGACGTGTGCTTCGGCGCCTGCACACGGCCGGCGCGCAGGCACGCAGACGCCTACACGAATACATAGGCATGTGTTACTGACGCATCTGGGGCACTTTCTTTCAAAGAAAGTAGGGAATGAAAATCCAATCTGAGAGTCATCAGAGTTCATCTGGAGGTCGCCCAAGGGGTAGAAAAAATTTATAACGACGCTAGAGTGTTTGTCCTTGGTACAACTCCGTTCCCGGGAGGGCTGGACACGACACGTTTCGAAAGTTCGAGGGGCTGCCTTAGGATCTGGGGGCAGGGGGTGGGGTACTCAGCAACTCTTGCCGCGGGCGGCTCTAGAAACGTGGAAACACACCCTGAGACTTTCCACTCCCCCGTACATATAGGCACGCGATTCCGTCGCCACCTCTCGGACCAGCAGCCCACGTCCAACGCTGGGCCGACCTCAGATTCCCAGGCAGTCAGGATTCCCGCCCGGTGCGCTTTTCTATTCATCCCTCTGCGTAAGGCTGGGACGCGCTCCATCTGTGAGAGGCTCAAACGCATCGCCCGCCGCGGGGCGGGATCTGGGCGCCCGAGCCCCGGGGTCCAGAGGCCAGTAACTTTGCTAATCTCCCCCAGCGGCGGGAGACGTCGCGCAACCGCTGAGCCCTGTCCGCGGAGACTAAACAAGGAGAGGAACAGGCTGTAAACACACATCCTGACACGTGAGTGACATTTACGCGGTGCGAGAAGCCGCAGCCAAGGGAAAGGCAGGGGGTGGGGGGAGCGGGCACCGACAGGTACGGAACCCTCGCAGGCGCCGGAAACGGCGGCCCCTCGACCTCCCTCTCCCCCCCGAAAGGGGCCACGAATCCCTAAGGCCCCCGAACCTGCCTTTTGTGGGAGGTGACAGGTGAACGGAATTCAGGTCTGGCCACTCTCGCCGCTGCCTACCTCCCCACCATCTGCTTCCTCGCAGACAAGCAGACCCGGCGCATAATGAGGTAGCAGCCTCCAGCCGGCCACCGTGACTAACTCAGAACAAAAGCGCTGACTCCACGCCTCCTCCAACAAAGGGGCCACCAGCCCCGGCGCTCCCCGAAGGCTGCGGGGCTCCCGGCTGCCGGCTGCGGAGCTGCCGCGCGCAAACTTCCCGGAGCTCCCGGGGCTGCCGGCGCCAAGGAGCCGGGGCCGCGGAGGGAGGAATCGCAAGCCACCCGGAGAAAGTGAGGCCAGGCCGGGCGGGGGAGAGGGGAGGGAGCGGGGCGGCCGCGGAAGGAGGGTGATTGATCAGTGCGCGGTTCCCGGCGCTCTGTCCCGTTATTAGAGGCGGCCAAAGCAGGGCCATGCAATAACCTCAGAATCGCCAACTAATTGACGCTGCAGGCAACTACTTCATTGTGCGCGCTGGTTTTATGTCTTCATAGCCGGTGATTGACAAGGTGTAATTAGTCATCTCACTCGGTGATAAACATGGGCACCCTCCTCCCGCGGCATCAGGCCGTGTGTACCAGCAGAGGAAGCGATAGTTGACGCTGATATACCATTAAATCAAAATGAAGACGTTCAGAAGTGTGTGTTTGCTGTGACGCTGTGATGGTTTATTTCTCAAATACGGCACCAACAGATTTACTTGATTTGCAAGTTAACTACAACATTAACTGGTTTTATTTATTTTGCCTCTTCCTTCCTCTTCCTAGGCAGGGATGTTGCTCTTGGAGAATGTGAAGACAGTTTGCTTCTTGACAAGCGAGCGAGCGGGCGCCCAGATTTTTGCAGCCTTTCCGAGTCTCCCCCGAGGGAGAGGCGGCAGAGAAAACGCCGGATTTGGGAGCCGCCAGGGAAGGATTCCGCGCAGGGGAGCCGCCCTCCTTGGCCCCAGACCCCCCTGCCTGGGGCCCCCTTTGCGCATTGCCAGTGTATGGCCTGAAGCTCTGAGGATGGTGCTGGGGACTGGGGAAGACTCTTGAATAATAACTGCAAAGAAGAAAGAGGCGAGAATGTCCCCCGCCCCACCTTGAAGCAGAAAGGACTGTGTTCTTAAAGCTGTTGGCTGCAGTCACAGGGCCAGTTGCCCGCCTCTATTCCCTGAGTAAAGTGTAGCATCTTCTGTCTTCCTGGCTTGCTTGCACCTTTCAGCAAATTATACCCTTTCCTCACCACAGTGGGAATGCTCAGGGAAGTGTGTGTGTGTGTGTGTGTGTGTGTGTGTGTGTGTGTGTGTGTGTGTGTGTTTCCCCTCTACACTGAGCCTGCTGTTAGAGAGGTTACCATGTAACACTTCCAAAAACCTGGAGGTTTACATTTTGTAAAGGAAAGGGACACTCCTGGTCTGTCTCAACCCCAATTCTAGTCAGAGTGGCAGGGACTGAACAAAGCCACCAACATGGGGAAGTCCATCTTCAGGGTATCATGCATTCCCCCAGGAAACCCCCAGTGTGTATGCTTCCTGCACTTTCCCCTTCTCTCTAACCTCTGTCTCCTGTTTGTAAGGCAGAGGAAGGGTGATTCCCTGCCACTGCACAGGAATGCGGGGTTACGGTTATCTCCAAGAAAGGGTGGGGTGAGGCTGAGACACAGGGAGAGCAGAAAAGCTCTGTATCTTCAACGAGGACACCCCCCCACCACCACCACCTTTCCCAGGCTTGTGGGCCTCATTCAGCAAAGCAGGGAGTGTTTTATATTGGTGTGAGAGGCTGTCAGTCAGCAGCAAATCAGTTCAGGCATATCTCTTTCTTTCTGAAATCAACTCATTGCCTTGGTCACACTATACAGAAAATCTGCTTATCACCGCTATCGACAATAAAAATTAGTGGAGTCTTAGTTGTTTCCGAAGAGAAACCCCGAGTCTGTGACACTGGAATAGATAAGTGGCTTGGCCTGTGGCAGGCAGAGAGGAGCCCAATTCCTCCTCCTCTTCTCCCTGCAGCGATCTGAACAATTCTGAAACCGCCTCCCTGGGCGTCAGCTGAGCAGGTTGGGGAACTAACCAGGGCTCTCTCTCTAGGGCCCTGTTAAATGCACTGAACTTAAAATGAAACACGAAGTGTGAATTTCAGGTTTGAACATCATGCATCAGGAAACGTGGAGGTTGGCAGCCCTTTTCCTCCCTCCTGCTTTTCGGTAGCAGGTATTAATATTGTATTAAATGTTATGAGAAAGTAAAGGCTGCAGAGAAGAATGTGCTCAGATGCAATTTTGTCAAGGTTTTTATCTGTGATTATGATTCCAGATGTAGAAGCTCCCGGAGGAGGAAAATGAGGGGCTGCTGGCATGTGACATGTGTTTTAAGGTGTTTGGCAGTGTTTCTCAAAGTGGTGACAAAATGTTCAATTTTATTACAGGGAATTGGTAAAAGAAATATGAATACTAGGTCAGAGATTGTTCACCTCAGCAAAAGGATTTACCATTATTGATTAGGGTGGTGAAAGTTTGTATCTAGGCCCTGCTTAAATCACATTGTCAACAATATAAATCTGTCAGATCAGATTTTTCTTAAAGAACAATTGTAACAAAATACACAATAGCTAATTGCATCCCCTCACAGCTAATTTCCATGCAAGTATGTAAATTGCCCTGGAAGCAAAACCAAAAAAAAAAAAAAAAAGTAAATGTTGCAAAAAGATGCCATTTTTTCCCCAGCTGGTATAACTACAGTCATTTCTTGACAGTCATTTCTTTTTAATCTAGGTAAGAACAATATCCAGTCCTGGAAGGGCCATTTTGCTAAGCTGGTTGCTCTGCAAGCCTTTCAGGTTAAAGTACAAAAAACAAAAACAAAAACAAAAAAAACGGCAACAAATTTTCTCACACAGGAAACCACATTCTGCTTAAAGGAGAACCCAAAAGATTTTGTATGGAAAAAGTGGGGACAGGGGTAGGAGGAGGAAGCAGATGAACTCTTGACTGGCTGACAACTCGTATTTCCATGCATTTCAGATTCACAGTTTTTCCTATCACAGCCCTTATTCAAAGGCATCTCTGCCATCCTTCTCTGACAGCAGGACACCCCTAAACTCCATTTCTAAGCACAGGTTTCCCCACAAACCTTTTATGAGCTTCCCATACATTAATACCCATGGACTGGAGTTCCCAGCCAGCACTGGCTAGACAGGAGGTGGGTTTGGTAAACATTTCTACATATCAAAAAGGAGTTTTTAGCTAAAGATGCTGGACTTGGCTCCTCCCAGGGTCCTCAATCAGGGATAAGGTTCTCTACTCACTCGCAGGAGCCACTGCTTTACAGATCACCCCAGGTCTAGCACGCCCTTTCAGCCCCAGCCTCTCTTGGGTCCAGGCTAAAGAATGTGGATTTGAGCTTCTCAGCCACTGGCACTATTTTACCATCACAAAGCATACGAGGCTCCCAGCACAAAATACACCTTCCTAGGAAGTCAGACCGTTCCTCTCCTAGGTGATGTAGGATGTGGTACTTTTCGGAGGGGAACAGTGAGGTTGCAGGGGAGGAAAAATGCCCAGTGTGGCCACCATCTCCCTCCCTGCACTTTCAACAGGACGCCTCCTGTAGCCGAGTCCAACTTTCCACTGGTTTGATTAGCAAATCTCTACTGCTATTTGGGAAGCTGGCATTGTCTCTTTAGGTGAGGAATGAGTCACTTCCCACACATGCTTCAGCTGAAGCCCAGTCCCTTGGCACCCCTCCCCAACATTTTTATTCTTCCATTAATTAAAACAACTAATGTCCCATTGATTATCTTTGCATGAATGAAAATCATTACAAGCCCTTGCAGGTATATGAGAAATTCTGTTTGCTTAAGTATTCACACTTTGATTTCCTGTAGACTAATTTTTCTCAGGCATAAAGAAATTCAAACAAAACAAAACCAAAAACAAAATCTGCTGACATTTTGCAATAAAATATGAAGGCTAGTTGTAATGAGCTTGTGCTGATCTCTTGCAGGAAGAAATGTTCAGATGGCCCTGTTTTAGTGCTGAATTTTACTATCTGGTAAAGGATTCCAGGCCGTGAAGGCAAACACTGATAGGTCATCACACTCAGGTTTTGAATGTGTACTTGTGTAGAGTCAGATGAGCTCATCCAAATGTACTTTTAAGCTACCGTGTCAGCCCCCGAAAGTAAAAAGGCAGGGGGCAATCAACACTATTTGAAATTTCCCAGCTACTTGGCCATTTCAGCTTTCGTCTCCATTTCTGGGGGCTGCCATAATTAGAGCGATCTATTTTGCATTTACTTCTCTTTGCAAGCACTACATTATTCACTCTTTCCTGTGCTTATTAAACAGTGCCACCTGCACCAAATTCAACAAAGCTCTTCCATCAGTCGGGCCCAGCTAAGGATCCCAGACCATATATTATCATTAACTGAAGCTCAATTGAATTGTTGATGATACAGTCAAAAGTAAAAGCAACCCATTTTCTAGGACCTGTTTATAAAAATATTTTAAACAAAAAAAAATGCATTCCCCAAATTGTCATATTTTACAAGCTCATTTCATTCTTTCTGTACAGCAATCCAAGCAATTAACAAGTCTTTTAATTAGTGAATGATTCCTTCTATGTCACCAAGGTGCCTTCAGCACAAATGTCCTGCTTCATAGGTACCAGCAGATGCAGTCAATATTTTGTCCCCAAAGCCTTCCAAGCTGACTACCTCGATAGTCCTAACACTATAAAAAGGATCTGAAGAGCCAAAGGCAAGGCTGGAAAGCAGAGGACAATTTTCAGGAAAGTAGCCATGGATAGTATGAATCCAGAGAAAGGGAAAGACAGGAGAAAAGGAACCAACAGCAGAGGGGAGAGGCAGAATATACATGTCTAAAGACCGTGGCTAAAGAAAGGCACAGAAAGTTTCTAGCAAAAAGATGGGATCATCTCTGAGCTTCAGCTATGTGATAAAGGAACTCTACATCCTAATGCTGAGGATTTATACATTTTTAAGAACCTCAAACCTCACTGTGGCTTGTTCTTTTAAAAGCTTCCTGCTTTGTTCAAAATACCGCTTATCTTTGGTATTGTCATCAGCTCTGCTCTGGGAGAGATTAATTAAGTGATAGGTCAGACACAATGAGGTGAAAGGGCATGTCCACCCAATCAGGACTGATTCATCCGTTTCTAGGTGGATCAACTTTTTTGAGGGATGCCAATTTTGGTTCAACTTCCAGGGGGTTTGATCAATAGGGACGCCTCCGCTCCTTGGGTGAGGGGCACTTAGCTGGAAAAGACTGGTCTGCAGAAAGAAAACTCTAAAATCTACACTTTATTTTTTTTAAGATGTGGAAACAAAACATAACTATCAATTGTCTGTATGCTTAAGTTTTACCGATCTGAGAGAAGGCTGATTTCTTGAATCCTTTTACAAAATACAAAATAGCTAATTGGGTGGTTACAATCAATTGCAATGCACCACAAAAAAATAAAAATAAAAAGTTCTCTTCCTCTCCTCCCTCTACTGTTTTTCCTTGCCCTTTTCTTTCAAATCTACTTTTAATTTCTAGAAAGTAATATCAGAGAAAAATAGAAAAGGGAGGGAGGGAGAATGAAAAAGGAACAGAGAGATTTTCAAGGTGTCATCAGCTAAATTTTTCCAGACCAATTAGAGGTTACCCTTAAATCTCCATCATTCACCCCTCCATACCTTTCTAAATAGATCTCTAGATTAGTGAGAAATTTGTTCATTGGGAAGGGTCATGTGGTTGGTTTACCAGGTTCCTAACTAGAAGGGTTTTAGGGACCTTAGATCCCACTCCTAGAAATGGCACCCTCCCCATCTCTCTGGCAGTCTGGGTTTAAAGTGTGTGTGTGTGTGTGTGTGTGTGTGTGTGTGTCAGAGAAAGAGAGAGAGAGAAGTAAACTCCCAGCCTGTGAATGAGGCTAAGCTCAGGTAAGGTGACTATTATTGGAAGACACCAAACAAAACATTTGGAATATTTTTACTCTATTTTTGAACACTCTTGAAAATGAGCTTTGAATTTTCCAAGGTATTTTGGGGGGAGGGAGGAAATATGAGGGTGAACAATGGTTGGGGTTTATGTAACTGACCAGCCATTTGCCCTTTTCCAAAAAAAGGTAGAAGGCTAGTTTCTTAACTATCCAATTGTTTAAATCATCTGGGATCCATCTATATTTATAAAACTGAACAGAAATACTTAACAGCCTGATCAATAGCCATTGACCGTCCGTGCACCTCACACCCTAACATGCACAGCTTGATCATGTATATTTGATCATTGAAAAATTCAAAGCATCTTGCAGCAATGTATCAAGCTTCCCATAAAATAGTCTGTCTCTTTCTGTGGTCTTAAAAGAGTGTGAGTTTATCTCTCTCCTGCATTTATCTATCTATCCGTATATTTATCTACACACACACACACACACACACTCTCTCTCTCTCTCTCTCCCCCCTTCCTGGAGAATTTATTGCTCATATATTTGATAAAGAACAAGGTAATTAACTGCCTGCGAGGCTGTACATCTGGGCTGCACTTCATATCCATAGCAATAATAAAACACTTTTTTCACATTTTAGCAGAAGAAAGGCTAGTCCTGCCCACAGATTCAGAGGACCCCAGAGTCTCTGTCTGCAAAGCCTCCTTGTTATAAATCCTGCCTCCCTCTTAAGTGATGGCAAGCACAATTGCACCAAGGGGCACTAAGTTTATCTGTGCAAAAGCATCACTGGAAAAGCCTGTCCCTTCTCAGAGCTTCAGCATCAGCTTGTGGGGGTTTGAAACAGACACAGCTGACTCCTCCATCCCCAGCCTGCTTGGCAGCAAACCGGGGCAAGAGTCCAAAGGACTTATCCTGTGAAGGGCCACAGGTAGAAGAGATATTTTGGGGCTGGT